AAAGAAAGAAAGAAAGAAAGAAAGAAAGAAAGAAAGAAAGAAAGAAAGAAAGAAAGAAAGAGAGAAAGATCGATCAGGGACTGGATGCATTTCTGGATCAAAGCTTTTGGAAAGAGGAAAAAGGGCAGGAAGAGAGCTTATTGATTGGGAAAAACAGCATATAAATAGGCATTTTATCTTCAGTGCCAGAAACCCAAACCGGGGACGGCTTGAAGGCCTCGGAGCTTTCCAAGAAGAAACCTGATTGATAAGAGCAGGGGGTGATTTTTGAGGGGTTCTGTGGGGCTGTAGCAGCAGGGGGAGCTGCCAATCATCTCCGGTCCCCCCTCAGGGGAGGTCAAGGAGCTTGTGCTCTGCGTAGAGGCTTTCCGTGATCTCGTAGACCCTGCTGATGTGGGGCAAAGCTTCGCCCAGCATCTCAATAGCCTCCTCGGTGGTGCCCACTCTCATGTTTTCCAGGAAGGCGTCTCGGGTGGGCAAGGCGTAGAAGGCCATGGTGGCTGCCTTGCGGACGATCCAGGGGTGGTAGTTGGCCAGCGAGGCGTTGTAGGAATCCGTGCACAGCGTCGATGTCTTGGAACTGGGGCCGCTAGTCCTCAGGCCCTCCAAAAACAGGTGCAGCCAGCGCAGGGCCCGGTGGAGGCGAAGGATAGTTCGGCAGCCTGAGGCAGGGTAGGCGCCAGGCTCCCTCAGATCCACCAACCCGTTGCCCAGTTCGTAGTTCACCATGGCTTGGAGGGTGACGTAGTCCTCCCGCTGCTCGTTGCTGCGGAAGTTCTCCATGATCTGGATTTTGCTCACCGCGTCTTTGGAAATGAAGGAGAAGATCGGCCCCATGGTGTTTAGGAACCTCCACAGAGAAAGAAAAAGAGGTGGTCATGATAAAAGCAATGGGAATGGATGCGCCCCTTCCAGATTTCGTCAACCCCTACTGGACGGAGACAATGGTTTAAGTGCGGTGTTTCATCAAACTCTGCCCACCGCCTGCAGTTCGGTCCTGACGGAGCTCAAAGTTGACTCCAGTCTTTTGTCTTTCCGAGCTCCGTAAAATGAGCCAGGTACAGAACAACCAATACAGATACATAATAACCAAGTTGGAAGGGACCTTGGAGATCTTCTAGTCCAACCCCCTTGCTCAAGCAGGAGAATCCTATACCATTTCCAGACTGTTGCGGGCGATATACAAATAACGCCTACGTTGTCAACAGCCCAGAGAATGCTGAAAAGCATTATGGGGTGGCAGATAAGCCTAAAATGTTATGGCTATTGGCTGGGCTAGTGGGGATTGGTTGGGGGGGGGTGTCCAAGAAATTTAGGCAGCCGCAGGGTCTCCGAGCCCATCAAATGTTTCCTCTGTCCACATGGGAAAGAGACACCAAACGCAATAAAATCTCCATCAACTAATTAGGTTTGTGTGTTATGTGTGTAATTTACGTCCTTTTTATGTAGTCACATCAATTATCCAGGCAGCTTTGGAAATGAGGAAGTATCTCCCGAGGTCTGAACTAAAAAGTTCTTAGAGAAGCTCAAAGTTTGACTGCACAGAGCACAGCGGGAAACTTTAATCCCCCCCCCTTTTTTTTTTTAAAAAATAAAGATTACAGAATCCAAGCTGAGGCTTGAACCCGTTTTCAATTGGGTCAGCAGCAGGTTTTGTTCACCTGAACTTCTTCCTTCTGGCTAACTCAACTACTGTTTCCTCAAATGACATTTTCCCTCCCAGCCTATATCGAGCCTATCGTATAGAAAACCGCTTCATTTTCTTGGTCGGTTTCTCTAAGGGTGTTCTAATTCCCACCATTTTCATTCCTTTTAAAATAATTTAAAATATTTCAAAATAAAATTTAAAAATACGATTTTACTTTTTGCCTTGCTATTTCTATCAATCCTTCCCATCCTTCCTTTCACCCATCCCCTCCCACTTGTGACTGTACGACCGTAACTTTGTCGCTTGTATCCTTACGATTTATATCGACTGTTTCCAAGTATGATTCGATTGCTTATTGTACCCCGGGACTATCATTAAGCGTTGGACCTTCTTGGCGAATGTGTCTTTTGTTTTATGTACACTGAGAGCTTTTGCAGCAACCTGGCCAATAAAAAATTCTATTCTATTCTATTCTATTCTATTCCACCCAGCTTCAGACTCGGAGCCTCGGTCAAAGCAGGCTGCGACAACGCTTACCTGACGAGCCCTTTCCAGCCTCCTAGATAGGGGTCCATGAGGATTTCTTCCTGGCTGTTCAGGCAGCTCTGGAACATGACCAGCACCCCTTTCAAGCCATAAACGTCCTCGCCATCAGCCATGATGAAGCTAGGAAAGCGGAGGAGAGACTCCAAGCGGATGGGGAACACCTGCCAGGTAAGAAAGAGGGTTCTGTTACACGTCAGAAAATAAAAAGGTCTCTGGCACTGGGTGGAAAATGAAACGAAAACTTGAAAAGTCACCGGGAAGGGCGTCGTTGACAGGACGGCGATCCAGCGCTTTTCCGCCAGGCTGTCAAAACACCCAAGTATAAAAGGATGTGTTTGTTTTGAGGGGTTGGGAGCGTGTGCGTATGGGGCAAGGGGTGGAATTATTATTATTACCCATCGGTATTGAGCAGGTTGAGCTGGTCTAGCGTGTTTTCTCTCCCCCAACTGACTTGGCTCGTCGGGACCTCCAGGGGGGGGGACACTGCAGCCCATCGTAAATACGAGTCCGTGGGCCAAACATCCAAATTTGGATCACATGAACCCCGGGGGAAGAGTGGGGGGGGGGGAGGCAGGGATGCTGCCACGGTGGTTAAGTTTGAAAAACACAAGTCAATTCCACCCCCCACCCACCCCCGCCTCAGAATCGTCGTAATAACTCTGGTCATGAAGCGAAAAGGGCCGTCAGCCAAGCACTAACCTGGATCTATAAATTTGTGCTTCCTCCCTGCCACCCCAGATCGAATCTCATTCGCTTGCAAATAGATCCAGGTGGTTTTAACGTTTTAAGCTTGGAGGCAGCCAGCCAGATGAATGTACCTTTTCTTTTATGGGCACTGAGAGCATTGGCACCAAGACAAATCCATTGGATTAAATTTTAACACACACACACACACACAAACCCTCCGCCCCAGTTAGCCCCAATTAAAACCAGTGAACCTTTGCAGGGTATGTGTGTGTGTGTGTGTGTGTCCGACAGCAACCACTTTGTCCAGGGCAGAGTCCAAGCGTGCCAGACATTCAGATCCAAGGCCAGGATGGGTTTTGTTTTTTTTTAGAGGTGATCCCAGCTGATCCATGAACTCTGTGGGACCAATTTGTGGGTTGGGGGATTTTCCACCCTCCCCCCCTCCTCCTCCTCCTCCCACACTCCTCCTCCTCTCCTTTTCCCCCCATCAATGTTTTAAAAAGGAAACCAGAAGTGCCACAAAGGCCGGAATTCCCACCGGAAATCTGGTTCTGCTCTTGAACAATCAGCGGCGGACAATCATAAACAACAAGCCAGTTAATAAGCCTTATAGTTTGGGGTGAACCCCGGGGCGCCCCCCCCCCAAACTTGGCCGCTTTAAGACTTGTTTAGGACTACAACTCCCAGAATTCTTGGAAGCCCACCAGTCTTAAAGCGGCCAAGTTTGGGGGAGTGGGGGGGGGCGCCCGGGGTTAAAAGACTACATTGTTCAATCCTTAAGAACTTGGCTTCCTCAATAGAACAGAACAGTCTGAAAGGGATCTCAGAGGTCTTCTAGTCCAACCCCCCTGCTCAGAGGCAGGAGAAGCCCAATACCTGGCTTGTTTTCGAATTCAGAACTTCGCCTAGGATTGAGAGATGGGGCAGAACGATCATTAACCATCTTGTAACCACGGTTTAAACCAGGGGGGCGACCTCCATGGCTTCAGAAAGCCCCCCCCCCCCGTCCCCAATTCTCTAGGTCTCTGCCCCACTAGGCTCCCACTCCCAAGCTTTAGCCCCGCCCACAGCCCTTGAAAGGGGAGGGGCTTCTTCTCCTTCTCCCCCAGGCGGGGGCTCCCCTCCCCTCCCCTCCCCGCCCGGCGCTTCAACTCACCTTAGCAACCCCTTCGTCCTTCCCTGCTTTCAGCCGCTCCCCCTTTCCTCAGATCCGCCAATGAGGAGCCTCCCTCCTGCCCGCGCGACCCGCCTCCTCCCGCCTCCCGCTAAAGCCAATAGGCTCCCCGCTGGCCGGCTTTTGCCGCCCCCGGCCAATGGGGGGGCGGGGGGTGGGTGCGGGCGTTCAGAAACGGCTTTGGGGGAAAGAGCGCGCTTCCGGGAAGGCGGGTCTGCGGTACGCATGCGCCACACGCCCGCGGGTAGGTTTCTTTTAGTTCTATTTATTTTATTTATTTTTGTCAAACAATTATTAGATAACAGGTATAAGTATCAGCCTGGTTATAAATACATGAAATGGATACGAATAAGAAAAAAAAAGAAAAAGAAACAATAGGACAGGGACGATAGGCACGTTTTAGCTGCGCTTATGCACACCCCCCCCCCTCCCAACAGGTTCCTCGCCTCTTCTCCTAGAAATAATTTTTCTAAAAATTTAGACTGGCCCGACTCGAGTTTTAGGGTCGAGTATGAATGAACTGGGAAGAGGTTCGAGCGCAGGCATCTCTTCTGCTGCAAACGGAGGCGCTTTCTCTTTTTAAAAATTGTACCCGGAAGAATGGGCTGGGGCGGGGTGTGTGTGTCAATCTCTACCCTTTTCGTTTATCTATATACCCTATCACGGAGGCCGTGTTTTGCGCACGCGCGGCACTCCAGGGTGTGTTGTGGGGGGGGGAGGTCGCGGGTGTCTTGCGCGCCATGGGCCGCTGAGGCGGGCGAGTACCGGGGAAAGGGGGGGCTTTGCTTGTGGCAGGCGGCCCCTCCACCTTTTGCAGGTTGGACTACAGTTCCTAGCATCCCCGGGCTACGTTGGGGGTGGGGGTGTTGAACAATTGGGGGTCAACACAACCCTTTGAGGGCCTGTGTCGTCGTGCACAGCCATGCAACCCTGAAGGGGCGATGGGAAGTGTAGTCCAGAGCAGGGAGTCTCCGACCTTGGCCACTTTAAGCCTGGAGGACTTCAACTCCCAGAATTCCCCAGCCAGCTTTAAGCCTGGAGGAGTTCAACTCCCAGAATTCCCCAGCCAGCTGGCTGGGGAATTCTGGGAGTTGAAGTCCTCCAGGCTTAAAGTGGCCAAGGTTGGAGACCCCTGGTCCAGAGCCTCTGGCCTCTTTGCAAGTAACTTGTTACAAAGGAATAAAGATTTTAATTTTCCCCCTTTGTTCCATCTCTATAGGAAACTTTGGTTGAGCTCGCCGGTAATGCTGAGACGGTGATCGCTGCAGAGCCTTGGGACGCCTTCCTTCCTTCCTTCCAGGATGCCTGAAATAAAAGTCACCCCCCTGGGTAATTTTCCTTTTGGGGAGGGGGCAGGGGTCAGGAAAAAAAAGGGGGGGCATACCAGAAGGTTACAGTGAAAAAAATATTTAATTATACATGTACTAATAGCAGCTAGGATTGTATTTGCCCAAAATTGGAAAAGGGATAAAATACTCATAAGAGGGGAAAAATAATTGAAAAAAAATATTCGAATGTGCAGAAATGAATAGATTGACACTAGAAATTAAAAGGAAAAGAAGAAACTGAAGATGACATGGTGTGGAGTATGTTTTATCAAAGGATAGAGAATAGAACAACCTAAAAGGGGTGTGATGTATTTATAGAGCAATTAAGAGAAATTTAAGCAAAGTTATAACGTGAGATATTTATTATGTATATGGGAATATGTACGGGAACATTGATGTATTGTTAGATTTGATAAGAATATTATTTGTAGCGTTCAAATAATTGAAATATGTACTTAAGTCGACACACGATTGAAATGGAATGGTTTGTTGTATATAAAAAATAAAAGAAAAATTAAAGAAAAAAAGAAAAAAAATGGGGCTCTGGGTTAGCTGAGCCAGCAGATTGCCCTAAGAAGATTTTCCTCCCAAAATGGGAAAATCTTAACATCACAAATCCCTACACCCTACAGGGGTGGAGAATTGCAGCGCCTGAGTTAAACACTGTTGGAAAGGCTGTGGAAGGTTGCTTTGGATCAGTTGGATTTAAATAAACAACACAGTGGCTTGTTTGAATCCCTGGCTCTGGATTGACCCAAATACATATTTCTATGCTGTATTTGGAGGTCCTGAAGCAGGAGTTCCCTATAGAATAGAGAATAGAATCCTTTATTGGCCAAGTGTGATTGGACACACAAGGAATTTGTCTTGGTGCAAATGCTCTCAGTGTCCATAAAAGAAAAGATACATTCATCAAGAGTCAAGAATCATCAGGTACAACCCTTAATAATAGCCATAGGGTTATATAGTCATAGGGTATATAGTAAATAGGATATAGTCATAGGATAAAATAAGCAAATCATAATAGGAAACAGTCAATATAAATCATAAGGATGCAAGCCACAAAGTTACAGTCATACAGTCCCAAGTGGGAGGGGAGGGGTGATAAGGAGTGATGAGAAGGTGAATAGTAATGGTAGTGAAGAGTTTGTATGGAAGTTTGGCAAGCAGTCCAGGTTCAATTTAAAAAAAAAAATAATGTGAAGAGTCATTCAGTGAACCTCTTATCAGTTTCTTGAATTCCTGACTTGCCTAGGGTAACCAGCATTAAAGCAGACACATGCCAATGAGAATATCAATAAAAGCCTGCATTTTTAATGAAATCAATTCACTTTTCTGTTCTCTCTCTCTCTCTCTCTCTCTCTTGCTTTTTTTCAGGAGCTGGCCAAGATGTGGGCCGCAGCTGCATCCTTGTGTCCATTGCAGGGAAGAACGTCATGCTCGATTGCGGGATGCACATGGGATTCAACGATGACGTAAGTGGGATTGGCGCACGGCGTGGCGCTAATTTGACCTGGCTGGAGGTTTACTCCAAAAATCTCCGTGAAAGAGTCTACTTGGAGCATACAAAAGGCTGAGTGCCATCTTCTGTGAACTTCAGCCCTCCAAGTAAAAGGCTGTGGGGAGATGGCTTTTGCAGTCCTTCTAGGGCTACAGTTTGTGGGTTCTCCATAAATTTGTGGGATGGGCAGAATTTACCCCCAAATTACTTTCCGAATGGCGGTTTCCCAGTCAAAATAATTGGAGCTTCTTTCAAGTCCTCTTGGCTTTTGGGCGCTCAAGGCTGGGCAGCCTCTCTGAGGCCAATGGAAGAAGTCACGCTGTGTTTCACCTTTCGAACGGGGCTGTGAATACTCGTCCTCCCGCATCTTTGGCTCTAAATCAGAGGTCCCCAAACTTGGCAACTTTAAGACTTGTGGACTTCAGCTATGCTGGCTGGAGAATTCTGGGAGTTGAAGTCCACAAGTCTCAAAAGTTGCCAGGTTTGGGGACCTCTGCTCTAAATGGTCCAGGCAGCCTGAGATCTGTTGGCTAGCTGGGTGGAAAGCGGAGAGCTAGAGGGAGAGGGAAGAGGCCAGACACGTTGCCCGCCTTTGTGTCTTTTAGAGGCGGTTTCCTGATTTTTCTTACATCACCCAGAACGGAAGGCTGACTGACTTCCTGGACTGTGTCATCGTTAGGTGAGCACATCTGTCTTGTGTTTGAGCAGGTGAAAAAGAAAACTAGCACCCTTGACTAACTATGAACTGAGTTTGACCTATGCTGCCTGAGAGGCCTCCTGCAGAATGAGTTTGACTGCACTGTTGGGCTTTTGTCGTTTTTTTCTATTTCTCAGTTTCATGTTTGCAGGTGTCAATGAGATCCTGGTGATGATGATAATAATTAGTAATAATATAATAATAATAATACAACAACTGGAAAAGATAACAAAATTCAAAGACCTACAAATAGAAATAGAACGATTGTGGCAAAGGCAAGCAAGGGTAGTACCAATAGTCCTAGGCGCCTTGGGTGCAGTCCCAAAACAACTGGAGCACCACTTGAACACCACAGGCATTGAAAAATTTGCCATCAGTCAATTGCAGAAGGCAGCTTGACGTGGAACAGCTTCCATCCTGCAGCGAGAGCTGTAACACCATCAAACATCCAGATTTGCCTATCCCAAGTCCTAGGTAAGGACTTGATAGGCAGACAAAAATGCCAAAGCCCAGTCTGAACATCTGGCTGGCTGTGCCATTATTAATAATAATAATAACAACAAAAACCTGGAATTCTTGTAAACTTCACCCAGATTTTCCTGCTGTGCCCCTCCAGTTTATGCCCCTGTTTTTCAGAGATTTTCATTTATAGTATTTTTTGGCCTGGAAATTTTGGCGGAAGAAAGTTGTTTGAAGTGGCTTATTTCTTTGGTAGACATTTTGGGGGCAGTTTTTTTAAACAAGCACGTCCGATTAATCCCATTTGCTGTTATCAGCCTCTAAATAGGTTCTTTTATTCCTACAGTGCTCAGAAATTGAATCAACAATTAGCAAAACAGTCTCTGCCGTAGTTCTACTAGTTTAAATGCTATTATCATGTCTTGTTTAGAAAGATCAGTTCTGAAACTGGTTTCATTTGATAGAATAACAACTCCAGAACCAAAGTGGAGTTGAAATTAAAATTCTCTGATTGAGTCCTTTTTAAAGCCCATCTTGGATTCCTGTCCTTCCCAGCCACTTCCATCTGGATCACTGTGGGGCCCTCCCCTACTTCAGCGAGATGGTTGGCTACGATGGGCCGATTTACATGACTCACCCGACAAAAGCCATTTGCCCCATTCTGCTGGAAGATTTCCGGAAAATCACCGTGGACAAGAAAGGGGAGACCAACTTCTTCACCTCCCAGATGATCAAAGACTGCATGAAGAAAGTGGTGGCTGTCCACCTTCACCAGACTGTACAGGTAGGGAGAGGGGGATTTTTAGACCGCGTGTCAGCGTTTCAGAAAACCTCCACTCCAAGCAATAACTCTGAGACAGACACCTTCTCAAAGTTCTGTTTTTATTTGGATAGTAAACTGGCACATCTGGGAAATCCAGAATTGGAAAGTTCCAGGTTTCCTTGCAATAAGTAAAAAAAAACTACAAATCCACCCCCTGCACCCATCATCGCATCACATGCCCCAATCACCATCCGTCCCAACTTGAGATCTTCCCCCCTCACCCCGGTGCAGAAATAACATGTCCTTGAATTAGAAAAAGAATGTTATCCTGTTTAACCACACACTCCAAGAAATTCCCCCCTCCAAGAATATGGCAGTGAGGAAGCATCTGATTCTAATAGGGCTTCCAAAGCTGACACTGTGTAGCTCAGATTTCCAGAACATTTCTCAGCGGAGGGATTTATGTCCAAGTTGGGAAAGTATCTGGACACCCCGTCCACCCTACATATTGAACAACGATAAAAGTCCTATTTGTAGCTGCATTTACTCTGCACTCATCCAAGTTTGGATCCACTCGATCTTCGATCTGGTGAGACCAAGGAATGGGGTACTTGGTTGAGAAAGACGTATCACACCTCGTTCTTTGGGAGCGGAGCCAAATTCTGACTCTTAAAAGTGAGCTAAGAGAGCATTTGTTGTATAAATGTATATTGTAAATCCTGACACTTCTAGTCCTGGAGGAACAGGAAATGACACACTCTGGATCACAACATGACACAAATGACACTACAGAACCAATGTGGACACCTTTGCGATGTCACCGGACACTTACTCACACAGTGGTGGCGAACTGCCAAATTTGCTATTGAAAAAACAGTTGGGATGACTCTCATTACCTGGTTTAGTAACTGGGTTAGGTCTGGTCAGGTTCTTCAGGTTCTGACTGAATGTGGGAGGTGTTCAAGTTGGAAAACCTTCAAAAATTGTTATGCAGCCTTCACAAAATGCTGGTTGTCACTGGTTTTTCAATCTCTTTATGGTCGTGTTATCTATTTTTAGGTGGACAGCGAATTGGAGATTAAGGCCTATTACGCTGGCCACGTCCTTGGGGCAGCGATGTTCCAGATTAAAGTCGGTTGTGAATCAGTGGTTTATACCGTAAGTGATCTGGATAAAACCGCCACATCCCTCCACGGTCCCCTTTTTCAACCCAAATTCTGTTTTCCGTGAGATCCTTGTAAGATGGAACTCCCCGCTTACCTGGGCGTGATACCATCATCCCGTCATCCCTGGGCTGAAAGATTTGCAGGGATGCAATGAGATGTTGCTTTAACGCAGGGGCCATCAAACCTGACAGCTTTAAGACTTGAATGCTGGGACATTGAGGACGCAATAGTCCAAATGATATCTTCAGTGCAATATTACCATTGGCAAAAGACAGCAGAGGCTTTTGAGGCCCTGTTTTTATTGTTATTGGACATTACAAAGTGCAGGTGAGAGTAAATACTGCCCTCCTGCAGCTGTGGCAAGATCCTGCTACTGCAGGAGAAAAAGTGGAGGTTGGTTGATATGGTGAAGGGTTATACATTTCAACCTTTGGGGAAGCCCCTTTAGTTGTAGTCACCGAGCACACACTTTCTCTTGTTCCCTGATTTCCTGCAGTGTTGCATTTGTCTATACACTCTTCAGACGATTGGTTAAAGCACACCTCTTTGGTTATATTTTTAAATGTTGATATGTTTTTTTAAAAAAACATTTGTTTTAAGTTATTGATTTTTATCGTTGGCGTTTTTGCTGTTTCTACTGTGTAATCTTTAATATGGAAGGAGGATGTAAATGGAATAAATAAAACATTTTTTAAAAAAATTTCTTTCTCTTTATTAGGGTGACTATAACATGACACCAGACAGACATTTGGGGTAAGCACTTTGGATACAGAGGGAGGAATTGATTTGGATAGCTGATTTAATTCCACTTCTTTTGAAGGGGTGTAATAAAAGAAAACTTACGAGTCCGTAATTCAGTTCCTTTTAAAATATTGCATTTGATAACACTCCCAAGTTGGCAGAGGGTGATGGGTTTCTTTTAGGGGTGGAGAGGAATCCAGCAAGTGGCATATTTAGGTATTGAAACCTTCCATGCTTTGCTTTTCAGGGCAGCTTGGATTGACAAATGCCGCCCCGACCTGCTGATTTCTGAATCCACATACGCCACCACCATCAGGGACTCCAAACGCTGCAGAGAAAGGGATTTTTTGAAGAAGGTCCACGAGACCATTGAGCGTGGGGGGAAGGTAGGTGACCTCAGGCACCTTGGACTGGATGGCTCCAAAGACAGAACCGTCCGCAATGGAAAAGTTCTATTGTGGGCAGAACCCGGCTTAGTGAGGGAAGGGTAGCGATGTGGAAGGGGGCAGTTTTGCTCTGTGGGGCCCACTTTCCTTGTCTCGCAGCAATTTGGAGCAAAGAGGGAAATGGAACAGAAAGAACATCAAATGATGACTGAGGTGGTGGCTTGAGACTGAAATTGAGGGAGAAATTCACAACTGCTTTTGCTGCCTCTGCAGAGTGAAGGGCTGAGATATGTTGCACGCTGGCCCGGAGCAGAGCAGGCCTAATATCTTTGTCTCACTTTCCATCTCCCATCATGTTCAGAGTTTTGCAGCGTTAATTCAGCGCCAGAAAAGTACATACAGATGCCTGATGCTTCATTTAACATCTTTATAAACATAATAAGTAGATTTTACAAACCAGTTGTAGATTTCTCCAACATGGAGAAACTCAAGACAGAAACATGTTGCAAGTAACTTCAGTAGCACACCACTCTCAGCTGGGATGATGGTGGGCTGCAGTTTTCCATCTGAAATTAATGCTTGTTTTGTTTTTCTTTCTGTCTTTCTCTCCCCCCCATCTCTCTCTCTCTTTCTTTCTTTCTTTCTTTCTTTCTTTCTTTCTTTCTTTCTTTCT